AATGTGTACTAGCATAGCTTTCAGTTAGCATGCCTCTCACCTCTTGTGTGAACATAAACATGAACAGAACAGAACATGAACATAAGCAAACCCACCTACCCACTATAGCACCTTTTTCCTACTTAGTGACAGTAGTTCTGGCTTATGTTTTGATGAGGTTTGAAGAAAGCTTTACTGACTGGCTGACTTGAAAATATTATATAGATACTATCTATCCCCCAATTTGGTGTATAAATTTGAGAGCTGGACTAGGACTGTGGGAGACCAGGGTTCAAAACCACACTCAGCTATGGTGGAAACCCACTGGGTGACTATGGGCAAGTCATATTCTCTCAGCCTTAGAGGAAGGCAATTGCAAATCTCCTCTAAATAGATCTTGACAAGAAAACACTAGGCAAGACTTGTTACTATAACAACAGTTATATGCAGTGTATATAACATCATGTGTGTGTGTGTGTGTGTGTGTGTGTATACAAACAATGTATGTATATGTAGAGATCTTGCAGCACCTTTGAGACTAACTAAAGAAAGAAGTTGGAATGGACTTGAAAGCACAAAACAATATCTATCTATCTATCTATCTATCTATCTATCTATCTATCTATCTATCTATCTATCTACCTGTCTGATTTATATTCCACCTTTCTCATAAAACTAGGACACCATTATTATGAAATTCATAGGGTAGTTTCTGTATAGCCATAGTCAAACTGACATGCTTTCTTCTATATATACACATCTTAAGCACTTATAATCAGAAAGAGAGAGAGAGAAAGTTACTCTCTGTCTATTTAATGTAACATCCTGGAGTTATGGAGTTGCAAGTGGTTAAGCAATACCACTTCATTAGTAAATTGTGCCATTGCCCAACTGAACGTGTAACCTAAGGGTATCCATGAGTAATGGACAATGGCAATACAACACCTGGTATACCAGTGGTATACCAGTGATAGTAACACAAGACCTGGTGTAACAATGGTCTATACAAATAATATTATTATAACAACAGCTATATGCAGTGTATATAACTATATATATATATATATATATGTGTGTGTAGAGAGAGATCATGGTGCACTTTTGAGACTAACTAAAGAAAGAAGTTGGCAGCATGAGCTTTCGTAGAGTAATAATAATAATAATAATAATAATAATAATAATAATAATAATAATAAATTTATTTCTTATATCCTGCCTTTTGCCTAAGCAATCAAGGTGGCTTACAGATTAAAACAAACATTACAATAAAACAATAATACAATACCCCCCCTTAAAACTAAGAACAGTATTAAAATAAACATATAAAATTAAAACAACATGCATTCTGAGACACCAATAGGTGTATATAGCAGAGGTTGAATAGCAGGGGAGGAGCACAGGATCAGATGGAATGATCTATTCTGGGAAGGCCTGCCGGAAGAGATCCATCTTGACAGCCTTTTTAAAGCTGCCCAAGCTGGTTATTTGATGGATCTCCTCCAGCAAGGTGTTCCACAGTCTGGGTGCGGTGGCAGAGAACATCCTCTGGGAGGTTACCGCTAATCTAGTTTTTATCGGTTGCAGTAGATTCCTCCCAGAGGACCTGAGGCTGCGGGACGGATTATATGGAAGAAGGCGATCCTTTAAATAGGTTGGACCCAGGCCATGTAGGGCTTTAAAGGTAATCACCAGCATCTTATACTGTGCTCACAAACCAATAGTCAGCCAGTGTAGGGATTTCAGTGTAGGCATAATATGATCACTTTTAGATTTCCTGGTGATCAGCCAGGCTGCTGTATTTTGTACTAATTGTAGTTTCTGGGCTAGGTATAAGGGTAGCCCCATGTAGAGTGTGTTGCAGACATCAAGTCATGAGGTTACCAGTGCATGTACTACAGTTTCTAGGTCCTTTACTTCCAGGAATGGGTGCAGCTGGCATATCAGCCGAAGCTGACAGCAGGCGCTCCTGACTGTCGCATTCACCTGATCCATCATGTGAAGCGATGAGTCTAGGAATACCCCCAGACTGCAAACACAGCCATTAGTGGGGAGCGTGACCCCATTCAAGACTGAAGATTGTAACCCAATGCCTCCATTTTGTCTGGATTCAGTTTTAGTCAGTTTTTCCTCATCCAGTCCATTACCACCTCAAGACATTGACTGAGAGGAGAATTGCCGCCTGGCATCATGGCTGCTGACCGAGACATGAAGAAATATATTTGGGTGTCATCCACATATTGATTAAACCCCGTCCCATGTCTACGGATGATCTCTCCCAGTGGCTTCATATAGATATTAAATAGCATCGGGAACAGGATAGCACCCTGAGGGATGCCACATTTCAGCTCTGTTTTTGAAGAGCAGCTGTCCCCAAGTGACACCCTCTGGAATCTGCCTGAGAGGAAGGAATGGAACCACTGGATTACAGTGCCTCCAATTCCTAACTCTCCCAGGTGTTCCAGGAAGATGTTATGGTTTATTGTATCAAAAGCCGCTTAGAGGTCGAAAAGCATCACCCGTGTCATGCTCCTCCTGTCGTTGCTTAGGTGCAGGTCATCTGCCAAAGTGACCATGGCAGTCTCCATCCCAAATCCAGGTTTGAAGCCGGTTTGAAATGGATCTAGAAAATCGGTTTCATCCAAGAACACTTAGAGTTGAAAGATGACGGCTTGCTCGATCACTTTGCTAAAAAATGGCAGATGGGAAACCGGCTTGTCATTTTTCAGATCCAGGGCATCCAGGGAAGTTTCTTCAGGAACGGTCTAACAACCTCTTCCTTTAAACATGCTGGAACAGTTCCTTCCCTAAGGGATGCATTGATGACCCTTTTTTAAAAAAGCCCTCACGGTATCACCCTCCTGGACGACCAGCCATGATGGGCAAGGATCGAGGAGACACATCGTCTTCTTCACTTTTCCAAGGATCTTGTCCACTTCATTGGTAGTCACCAACTCGAACCAATCCAGTTTAATTTCTGAAATGGATTTACTGGACACCTCATCAGTCGATTCTGCTGTAATCCTGGCATCTAAGTCGGCTCCTATCTGAGAGATTTTATCTGCAAAATAGTTGTTAAAAGTGTCACAACAGGCAGTTGTCAGGTTAAGTAGAGGTTTCTGCACAGGTGGAACCTGTGTCAGCTCTCACCACCCTAAACAGTTCTGATGGATGGAATTCTGCAGACACAATACGTGCAGAGGAGAAAGATTTATGCGCTGTACATATTGCTTCTCGATAGGAATGAAGAAAATTCATTCTTCTTGTCAGATAGGAGTTTTCTGCCAGGTTGCCCCAGCCCTGATTTGAATCATATACAGCTCTGTGCCACCCGTTTGCAGAGGCCCTTAGTCTCAAAGATGCTACAACATCTCTCTACATACTGACTCTACAGACTAAAATGGCTATATCTTCATATATATATATATGTGTGTGTGTGTGTGTGTGTGTGTGTGTGTGTATATATTATAATAATGTATATATCCTGGCTCAGCCATGGAAACCCACTGGATGACTTTGGGCAAGCCACACTCTCTCAGCCTCAGAGGATGGCAATGGCAAACCCATTCTGAAGAAACTTGCCAAGAAAACCTTATGATTGGTTCACCTTAAGTCAGAAATGACTTGAAGGCACACAATAAGAAAGAAGCAAGAGCTCACAGTCCTTTCATACACTGAAACATTAAGTCATGTTTTCCACCACTACTACTTCAAGCTCTTGCCAGATATCTGAGAGTGAGGCACAATTTGTGATCTATAAGGGAAATTGGCAGATAGTCTGCCAGTAGGTCTTGATTTATGTTCTGCCCAGCTCTGATGTACACAGTACTCAGCCAGATGTCCCAGTGGTTTGACATGGTATAAAGCACCTTCCTATCTTCATGCATGAAATATTGTTCAGATTGCTAGATCCATGTTTCTTATTTGGACAAAACAATACTGGTCCCAGCAGCTTTCTCTTCAACTATATCTGGAGCTGAACATAGAGTGATAGTTCCCTCTGCTGGTTTAACATGCAAATAACCACACCGTTTCTTGGAAAAACCCTACATTCACAATAACATCTGACAAAACCTACATCCATATTCAACCTCACTTTGTACCCATGTGAGATTAGACAGAGTCACCATGTACCTTGAGTCCACTAACATACTGTCACGAGTTGATTTAATGGACTATTCTCTATAAATATCAATCACTATAAATATACCCAGTATATGATTCATTAGAAGGCAATATAACCCTTCTGAATCTGTTTTTGGGAACATATTGTTATGCATGCCCCAGCAACCGAGCTGATGAGATTTCATGGGATTCAGTGCTTACTCTCTGACTCAGTTGACTTTCAGATCATATATGACTTGAGGCACTTAACATTCATTTCATTTATTTCCAAATCTCTGGGTTGAGCTAGAGCTGAGACAGGAATCATGTGGTCCTCTGCATGTTGTTGCAATGCAATTCCCAGCAATCCCAGCAACCATACACAAGACTGCAAGATTCTGGCAGTTGCAGACTAACAACATCTGGAGGACTACACAATTCCCGCCCACCCCCTAAGCTAGGACCACAAGATATTTTGCTACCTGAGGCTAAGGACAAGAGGTCAACACACCTATCATTCCACCTACAGAAGGTATCTAGACTGTATCCTCTAACTGTCCCAGTTTGGTAGGGATGGTCCTGATTAATCCTATGTCATATCACTTTTTCAGCTGATTTTACAATCTCCCAGGTCTCTTTTCTCCTCCCACTTTCTCCCTTTGTTCTTAACATACTGCAGTTACTGCAGAGTTTGCACTCAATTCAGCAGCGGGCAAAGAAAAGGACGGGCTGGACTCTTGCCCTTAGGCAAAAGCAAACAGCTGCAGTCTCTCCTAGCTTGTGTTTTCTTCCTCATTAATATATTTTGCCATCTTGACTACACGCCAACATTGCTGTCTTGGCTTTCATCTGTGAAATGTTGGAGGGTGTGAAAGACTTCTTCAACCAAAGACTCTTATTAGTAATTGAGATGGCATGGAGCCTGCATGGCATAGTGGCTGAGTGTAAGACTGCGACTCTGGAGATCAGGGTTCAATTCCCTGCTCAGCCATGAAGCCCACTGGGAGACCTTGCGCAAGTCACATGTTCCTAGCCTCAGGGGAAGGCAATGGCAAACCTCTTCTGGACCAATCTTGCCAAGAAAACCCCATGATAGCTTTGCCTTAGGGTCGCCATAAGTTGGAAATGACTTGAAGGCATATAACAACAAAAATTGAGATGCCAGCCTCCACCGTATGCAAGCCAGGGGACCTGAAACATGAAAGGAACTAGCCAGCTGGATTTGAAAGATGGCCATTGAATGCAAAGGGATTATCTTGCAGTTGCTACTATATTCAAAGTTACTTGAGCCAGTTATTTATCTCAGTTATTTAAATAAATAAATAAATAAATAAATAAATAAATAAATAAATTGCATTTTATTTATTTATTGCCTTTTACCCCAATATGGGACCCAAGGCAGTTTGCAAGCTAGAATAGAATCCAGTTCTGTTTGGATATTATCAGATTGCAGCTTCCATCAGCCCAAACAAATGGTGATGGCAGTTTCTTGAGAACTCAGAGCTGTTGTGTCTTTTGTAATTGGCTGGTGAGTCACACTCAGAACTGAGGATGGAAACAGGACTGGAGGGGAAGAGAGACCTGGAACACCTACTAAGGAAGATCAAAGAAGAAAGTGTAAAGGCACATTTAATGTTGAACATAAAGAAAGCAAAAAGAATGACCACTGAGGACCTTCACAAGTTCAAC